AAACAAAGCCCAACACCCTTCTTTTGGAGGGGGCATCCTGGAACGTACCTGCCAATTTTCAGCCAATTCCATCAGAAGACGCCAACAAATGAATTAAAAATGTTTATCCTTATATGCAGTTTTATTTTGCCGAGAAAAAGATGAAAAACCTTTTATGAGATTGGTATGATTAGATGTTAAAAATCCCCTCCGCACTGACAGATGTCGGCATGGGTCAGTTTATGACAACAATGGCTTATGCCAACTTGAAATAAACAGACATCTACAATTCTGGCACGGAAACCTGTCGCAGTAAAATCATCCAAGAAGCGAGAAATAACAAGAGCTTTATACAGGTTTGTATTTAAACTGCTGTGATTTCTTTTGCTTAGAAGATTTCGTCAGCGGCATTGGTGTTATGTTGCTGACAAGCTTAGGCTTCTTCATTCTCCAGGCATTGCTTGAAACCATGCCTCCTGAAGCCAAAAAAGGAAATCGCGACATCTTCATCTGCGCTTGACTCTATTGTTGTAGAAGTTTTGGAATTTTGTCCATTCTCCAGCAACAGGATTTGGTCTGTTGTAGAAGTTTTTATTAAGCCTGAACTCGTTCCTTAAGAGTCACTGATAGGAAATAACGAGAATGGCTGGCCTGGTTCGAAAAAATCGAAAATCCTGAAACTTAGCCTAAAGAACGCTTTTAGGGAACTACTTTTGAAAATGTTTTTCCGATTTTCCAGGAATTTAAAGTCTTTGAGAAATTTGGAAAAAACGAAACTACAGCTTTTTGCCTCATTAAATATGCAAAAAATATCTGGAAAATTGACAAAGTTCTCGGTATTTGCATTGAAACAGTTTACAAAACTAGAACATGGGGTAAACTTAGCATTAGAGCTTTACCGTTCTTCTATCTAACAATAGGAAGTTTTAAATTTTTCAAGCATTTTGAAGGATTTCGTCGAATGTCGAAGAATTCCCTTTTCAAGCCCCTATGAAAACTGCAGAAAATGCATAGTTTTACGGGCTTAAAACACATCTTGGTATGTCCAATATGGAACCAAAGCAAGTACTGTGCAAAAGTGTGTCGTTTCTACTATAATAATACAGAAAAAAATTTCTGGACAACTAAGGTTCACAAAGGCAAAATGAAAAAGTTCGCAACAGTCTCTTCTCAAATTTGCATCATGTGGTATATTCAAAGAACTCTATTGTTAAGCACTCTGGTCTGTTTTTGTTCCATTTGTGGGCCATGCTTTGTGGGAAATATACAAAAATAGAGTTGATCCATGTCATTATTACAACATTGTTTTGACATTTCACGCAAGGTACATAAAACTATAGAAAAAGCCCAAAATATAAGTTCAAAGTCACATAGATTAAACAGGCTACATGTATTACGTGACTGGCGTCACATAATATATATTTTCAATAAGCTGCAATTGGAATTTCTAGATTATTGAGGTTTAGACACTTGCTTATAATAGAATCATATCAGGGTTTGTCTTTCCCGTCTATCTACACACTCAATTAGTCTGCAAATATTCGAAAGGAGACTGGTCTTTAAAGTAAATTTTAGCATGTGTCTCGATTTTGATGCAGACATATATTTATTTATAAAGGCATCTTGCAATAGGTACAAGCACACATTGCATGCCTATTTTCCCCCTTGCTAGAAAAAAAAAACAATTTTTTCATGTTATGTACCTTCATCATTAAATGTTGAATCATCYTCATCATCTGTTTCATCTGCTTCTGTATGTTGGTAAAAAAAAAGATTGACATTTTAACCAGGAGAAGTCGCTAACTTATAAAACCTACCAGCTTCTCAAACTGATTCTAAACGTGGGTAAATCGAAAAAGCCACAAGTAGAGAAAGAATAAAATTTCCTGCTTCCCGAATACAGAGTAATAAGGCTGCTCTTAAGTAGCTTTACTTCTTATTACACTCATGACAAAACCAAAAATGATCTTCATGATGAAAAAAACTTTCCGTACCATTTATCCCGTTTCCAAGATTTTCAGAATTTTTTATTGAATGGAAAGCGCCCTTAGTTACACATAGACTGTCTGGTAATCAGAGGTCTGATCAAAGGAATTACTTGACTTACTACTGAACAATGTGATTGTCAAGAACCAGAGCAGAATTTAAACTCATATACATGTATACTAAATAAATTTCAAACAGTAAGGATATGAAGATCTCCATTAGAAAGAGTTTTCCAGTTCTGCTATTTCTCAATAACATTATGGTACCAGAAATGATCATTACCATGAAATTCTTGGCTTGTTTTAAAACTAACCTTTGGCTGAATCTTTCCCAAGGAACATTTTGCATGCTTTATACTCCTCTTCTGAGATTGTTGTTTTAAGCTTCAACTCTTCAAGGCTCAATTCTGTCAAGATCTCTTCTGTAACAAAACATCTTTGAACCACTTCACCAAGATGACCAGACAAATAATCCACCCACAAGCTCTCCAGGATCTGGAGTGAATCACACTTCACTGTTATCAGCAAACTTCCAATACTAACACCAGTAATAA